CTATTCAACTAAACTCTAGCCACTCGGCGTGTCATCCAATTAGAGCAAGGAAGTAAAATTGTTTAAAACAAAAATCATCAAACTCCCGACGCCATCTCCTCAGACTACTTAAATCTAAGCTCTCTATCTCCAATAAACTAATCATATACAAATCCTTAATCCGTCCAGTCTGGTCCTACGGCATGCAACTATAGGGCACAGCCAAACCTTCAAATAATAAAACTATCCAGGCGTTTCAGTCGATCTGCTTGCGTCTAATAACCTCTGCCCCTTGGTATGTCACCAATAAAAACTTACACAAAGACCTAAACATACCAACACTCGACCAATTAGCGAATTCGCTCTACTCAAAATTCTATTTAAGTCTAAGTACTCATCCTAATCTCCTAATAAAGCAACTATCCTTGACCTTCCTTCCCAATAATGCTCCCAGAAGATTAAAAAGAAAAAGTGAGACATGTAATTTAAAAATTATACATTAATGACGACTTAAGACAAATACAATTAGATATATTGATTTGAAATAGATAGAGTATAAACCAGCATATATAATTCGGGGGATAAAATTACTTAAATTTAGACGAAAAAAATGTACTTTTTTAAATGTTATTTTGCATTATTTAATCGTAAAAATTAAACTAAAAAAATTACAGTTTTAATACTTTCAGCGACAATTGCAACTAGAGTCTAACCATTTACACTGACAAATGGTGTCTAATTGGACTCATAAAAACCAACAAGCAAATACTTGAATGAAAATTAATGTCTAGACGTTTATCTAACTAAGAAGAAACGTAAAACATTATCCTGTGACAGAATACAATTATTATTTCATATTTTATGGCTATTATTTTTTTCTTTGTTATTTGTTGTTTTTCGATATAAAGTTTAAACGATCGCCGACACATTCTGGTGTAGTCAGCATTTTTGATAATGTCAAAACTGACACGTGTAACTTATTTAATTTTGATATTAATTTAAACTTTCTGTCTTTTCCGGACCCAGGCGAGTTTGGCGCTTTTAGAAATGTCCGTTTTCTCATTGTGGATTAGCCCGTTTCGTCTGTGTCAATCCTTTAAAAGCAACCATATTTTTTTTCAATTAATCATTAAATATGTTTTGAATTGACAAAAATCTAACAAAAATAAAACTATCCTTTGAGCGAATTGGCTGATAAAAAAGCATCAACTGATAAGGGGCGATTCGTTGATAAGAAAACATTAGCTGATAACAGACGATTACTGATTAGAAAGAATTAGCTGGTAAGAGAAGATTTATTGATAAGAAAATATAAGCTGATAACAGAGGATTCATTAGGAAACTCTCAGTTTTTCACTAAGATAACTTGTCAACTAATCATCCAGCGTACAAAACAGATCTGAAATTTTTTAAAATTATATCCACAAAAATGATTATAACGATTACGCGTACATTTTTGTAACTAAATAATATATAAAAACAGTGTAGGTATGATATAAATTAAAAATTAAATAACCGTTAAAAAGCTCCAAAATACTGAACGATTACTGTTAACATTTTTAGCGTTGTATTTAAATGATTATATTAAATTAAATATTTTGAAAAATATCAAAGTTATTTCGAATTAATGTCATCATGTTTAACGTGTGGAAACGTGCAAATTTTCGGTTCGAAATAATTTCATTAAAATTATTCGCAAAGCTCGTGTAAAATATTTTATCGTTAATGCACCGCCTTTAAACATAACCAGAAAATATACGAATGGTTTTTCTGCCAAAATTCCAAATATAACTCTTAGTTTGGCCGTGACAGGTACACTATTATTTCTCGCTAACTCGGATTATGTGTAATATATTTAATAACAATAATAACGGTTATTGCCGCACCAGAGAGCATGGTAAAAAAACTGAATAGACGACAATTATTATTTATTACATACATATTTTATTATTGTATTAATAAGTAACAACAAGACAATTCAAGACATCTCTCCGTATAAGCCCTGGAGAGAGACAGATTGGGATTTACAGTGGTTTTAAAAAGACATTTAAATGTATGTATTTTTTACAATATTGGCTTTTATTTGGATTTATCGAGATGATATGGTCAAAATGTTTCACATAATCGTATAAAAAAATGTAAGTACAATCGAGTTTTCCGTATTATCTCTCAGATAATGTTAATCTACAGTTTTGAAACATTTAGATTAAATAACCAACATGAATAAATATAAAACCAAACACGATAAATTTAAAAAAAAAAGCTATTCAATTTATTTAAATTAAACAATAAAATAACTTTTTTTTATGATTTCCAACACGATATAGGATATAAAAAAAACCCAAGTACATACGTTTTTTTTTTTTTTTTGATTCGGTTTGCTTTACCCTCAGGCGGGGGAAGAGTGGCAGCACTGAGAGCTGTTATCTCATTGTTATCTACAATGAGATAACAGAATGATAACAAAAAAGGCGCGCCCGCCACGCAGGAGAGTTAATTCGGATTTAGTCTCAGATTATAAATAGCGCATCTAGTGATTTTTTTTTAAACTGCATATTGTAAAAAATTTCCATTATTTCAGTAAAGTAATATTAAAATTTAAAAAAAGGTTAAAATTGAGTATCTGTACACACCGATAAAAAGGCGTAGGATGTTTCTAGGAAAAAACAAACGGTTAAGACGAAACGTTGAGCGTCGTTGCTATATGTGGTTTTTTTCAGAAAACCGAAATATCTTCAATTTGTTTTTCTTCTTACATATTTACATCTTTATTATTTTTCCATTTACATATATTAGTTCAAAACGCATCGCAGAGCACTATTGTATTATATAATATACGTTGACAAGCCGTTTGTGATTTTCATAAAAACGTTTTCAATTCTAAGAATAATACTTATAATATATTGTGTTTTTTCTTTCGAATTGCCCGTCACTTTTTTTTTTCCACAGAATTCGCCGTTTGTTATATTTAAATCATTTTCGAAGCAAACTCGTTTTGACAGTTATCACCGACTGTGTGATGTGTATGGACATTATTTTTAACGAATCGAATGGTATATTAACGATAATTTAATAATAATGGAATAAATTCAACGAAAAGAGAATATGAAATATGGTATTTCCGTTGAAAATACATTCTTGAATGTATTATAATATGAACGACCGAAAACGTTTGAAACAAAATTCACTTTGGCTGTCAACGATTATTTTTTTGGAAAATATTACTAAGTTGGACCATTTTCAGTAGACAAGTAAAAATGGTTCAGTGGAAATTATTTAAATGTGGTATTTTTTTTTTTTGTATGTTTAGTTATAGAATACCAAAGAAAAATTCAATAATATCACATTTATTCTGGCATCAATGTAATGTATGGTTGGACAATTTAAAGACAAATTAATAAAAAGAAAATGCCTAGATATTTTTAATCGAATAATGTGTTGTTTCAATTACTACATTTTTGGTTGCAATTCTCCAATTTGACCTCAATAAAAGTTTAAGAATATTACCAAACAAAATGCTATTCAATTTTTTTTTTTAATATTTTAAAACATGCATTTGTTTCTACCGTTTTTGGAACAAAATTAATTTAAAAATAAATGTTTATTTAAATTTAAAAAATCAACTAAATTTCAGAAAAAATATAATATATATTTTTAGTTCTTAATTACTATATTTTATTGTTCAATAAATTCACAATAATGGTCAATATATTAAAAAAAAAGAATTTTGTAAATATTTCTGTAGTTTTTTCTTTAATTCTATTTTACTATGTCCTATATTTATCCAATAAACCTATTTTATTGTACAATTTTTATACTGTAGATAAATATTGTAATTTAAAATTTTATTTGGTTTAAATGACATACAACATCCGACCAAGGCTTAAGTTTTAAATTTGTATATTGAGATTTTTTTTCCAGCTAAATAGGAAAGAGGGAAGTTACTGTTTTTATGAGCTCTCATTTCTTTGGACTAAGTTATACCATAGATTAAATATATTATCAAGTATATATTTTAATCCATGGTTTTTACGATTTTGGTTAAATAATCTGATAACATTCGACGGGTACTTACAGTCTACGGTTGTGCCTTTGTCAAACATAATTTCCATCGGGACCCCTTCAGAGAACTGTAGTGTTGCGGTTCATCATCACCGGCTCCCTTTGTCTGTCCGTTTGAATTACACATTGTGGTGACAGACATTATGTCATCCTGATGTTTACCAAAGATAAGCGATTGAGAGCGAAGTACGATTGTACTATCCACGTTGTAAACCGGTGTTTACATTGCGTTTCCCTCTTGTACGTCGGGTTAAGATTGAAAGCTAATTATTTTTGGCGAACGATGACACGTGGGTCAATTATAATGTCTCTGGCCAAAGCACACAATGTAGTATAAATACAATTGTTATCATTTTTCTCTTATTTTTGGCGACACTGTTAATATTTTTGGTATCGAGAATAATATTATGAGAAATCCGTTTTGGCAGTTCAAAAGAATTATTTTAAACCATGATTGATTTCTGGCTACACCGAATTGCTTAACAATTTTACCGATTTAGATTACTCGTTGAATGTCTTTTCTGGTAACGAATTACGATCATCAATTTATTATAAAATATTTACAAAGTACTATTATTGTCCTTAAAGCAAATATTGTCAGCTGTCTCTAATCATGGATCCTTTATCAGCAGCCATTGCATGCTGTATCTCATCAATGATGTTTTATCAGCTGTCATTATAAAAGTGTCTCTTATCACTAATCCACTCCCATTACATTCAATTTCTTATCCTTCGCTTTTCTCATAAACCTAAGCAGGCCTAACCTTATAAACCAGATGGCCCTCAGCCCAAAAGCATATCCATATAATTGATGGGGAATTGAACGAATACCTTTTAAAAATTAACTTTTCCAACACTGTTGATCTAAAGTCCCGTGTGCGTGATTAAATATTAAACATACATCTTGTTCGATTAGAAAAAAAATATTTACTTGAGGTATTTTTTGTGATTGTTTGCAGTTCCTCCGCGGAGACCGAGCATTCAAACCGAAAAAGGAGAAGAAATCCAAAACATGGCCGGACCGTACTTTGAAGGTGACCGAGTCAAGTTGACGTGCATCGTTACAGGAGGTAAGTCAATGGAAATCTTTCTTTTCCTGACAAGTGCTGGTTGGGTTAGTATTAATAACGAGTAGGAATAAGGGTTTAGGAATTATTTTAGATATCGTTTAATTGGAACGATATAAAAGCGATGAACTGGGAAGACCAAAGTTGACGTGACTTGTGAGTAAAGTGTAGATTTGTTTATGAGTGGGTAAAGAAATGATGACCCAAAGATAAGTGTGGGATAAAACTGTATTAATATGTACAACATAATATTATACTGTGTAAACTGATTAATGAAATAGTATATTGTGAATAGATCTCGTCGTTAACTTTTGGTAAATGAACGCTTGCTTCGTTGTGAATTTTGTTCTAGATAAATATAGCATGATCTATTTAACGTAAGACACTCGATAAATCTTAAAATAATAGCAATTTCTTCAAATTTCCATTCGAAAACATTTTAAATAAAGAATAATTTGTTGAAAATATCGACTGGTCGATAACCGTTTTTGAATAGTTGCTTCTTGACTACTCGAAATGTACAGTTAAATTTATTTTTTACACAATTAAATAAAATATATTTTACGGTAGCGTTTAAGTTTGATACAACTCAACAACTAAAAGATAAATGATTAGAATGTTTTTATAAATAAAAACTACAGAATTATAATTATGTTCAAAGATATTGAGTGCCTTACCCTGTACGGATCAACTTGTAAATTATGGGAATAACTAGCGTTCATTCATCATATTGTATGCATTTGATCGTGTCTAGTATCGTATGAATACTAATTAGCTTCAGGCTACAATGATATACACTATAACACGGATCAACAAAAAAAAGCCCTAATTATAGGTATTTGAAGGACACTGATTCCAAAAATGGTTGCTAACACTCCATAGTATGTATTATTAAAAAAATGATGACTGCAAATAAAATGTGTCTTAAAGAGGCACTTACTTAAAAAACTAATAATATTTGTACAGCCGCTTTTTCCTTTGCTGATGTTGCCTCTCCAAAGATATGTCAACTGTTAATGAGTTCCCTCTTGAAAACAAAGATTTCCTTCCCTTTCCAACTGAATTTTTCATTAATTTCAAACGTTCAACTCTAAAGGTATTATTTCAACTACTTAAAGATAAAAAGTCGAATCAAACGCGCAAAAAGCTCAATTAAAAATGGTCAGCCTTCTATTTTGTACACTCCAATTATTGCACGGATAAAAAAACAACAACAACGCTAAAAGTATAAGACACATTAGTAATGCCCAGTTGAATCGGGACTTTGGGCAGCTTTGGAAAAAAAACACATTGATATGATATCCCAAAAAACGATGATAATAATAAAATAACATCAATTGATCCGCAACATATTTTTGTTGTTGAAAAATTATACAGTGACAAAAAAAAATCACAACCTAAAGTAATCCCATTGAACACTCGATTTGATCTTATCAATTATTAATATTAAAATAGTAGGGAAACCCCATAGTTATTTGTTGGAAAATCCAATACAATTATTAAACGCAATGATGGAATTTTCAGCTACGATAATGTTTAACAGCCGTTAAAATACAATCATTTGTTATTATGCATAATATCCGCTCCATAAACGTCATCGCATGCTTTTAAAGAGTAATTTAAACTTTTTCAAAAGCATTAATCGCCAAGCACAAAACGAGGTGTACGAGCCATGCAAAAACGGTAATAATTAATACAGAATACTCGATTTTTTTTGTTTACCGTTTTAAGCAAATTAACGTCAGCCCTGGACTCTCGAAAATAATAAACTTTCATTATTCAAAGTTCATCCACACTTCGCGAATAAATTTCACAGCTTAGTAAAGCATTTCATTCATAAAAAATTCAGTTAAAAAAAAACAGAAGCAACTGTATTTTTTACAAAAAAAAATTGGTTTAAGTATAATATGTAAGTCAAAATATTGTCGAAAATTCAATTATAGAAACTAAGAAAACGGTGGTTTTAGCGAAAAGTGAATATAGATAAAAACAATTTTACTTAAAAAATATGAAAACTACAAAAATTGGCTATTTTATTATGAAAATGTACGGAAAATAAATGATTACTTACAACAATTCGCTTTTAACATATTATAATGTTACAAACACCACTCAGATATATTAAATTAATACTTTTAAGCATTAAAAAACTTTTTTTCCAATAACTATTTATAAAACAATATCACACGTATATTTTTCAAGGCTAGTGTTGCCAACCATAGCGTCTATACATCACTATTGTATCACTGGAATAGTATTATGTTGTAACGGATCTATTTATATCTGTATATCTCTAACCAATAATAAATAAACCACACCAAACTATAGAAAAAAAATATACTCATAGTATAGAAGTTGATTTTATAGGCAATGACTGTTTAGTTTTCTTCTCAATTTTGATAGATATGATCAATCAAGTTCAATCGTGACAAAGCGGAAGACTAAAATCTAGTGCAAGTGATATAATACTAATATAAATTTTCCTGAATAAAATTTTAAATTTGACTAAATAATGTCACTATATCTTATTCGATTGGAAATTTTTAGTTACAAAGTCGTTACTGTCTTATAAATTGTTTTTAAAATTCCTAAGAATTATCACTATAATTTAAGTTTTTTTAATTTATTTTTATTTTGCAGTTGTTTACCAAATAATACCTAAGATTAAAACAGTTTATCAAAAAGAGGTGGACTTTTCGTATTTTTTTTTCTTCTTAACAAAATGTCTAAATGAAAATTATTACGTAATAAACAAACCGAGAAAATGCGAGTTTTTGTTTGTGTTGTTCGAAAAATTATATTTTTCTTATCCGGTCAACCCGATACAATTAGGTACGTTAAAACTAATCTGTTTACGGTTAATCCAATTTACACAGAAATTATTTTAATTGAAATTGCGAAGAAGCCTTTAAACTTTTTTTTTTATGGCGACCGGCATTAAATAATTAAAACCTAACAGTCGTTCTCTTCATGGATAAGCCAAAAACCGACTTGCTCGTGTACACTCTAAAGCGGTCCTAAATCCTTTCTCTCTCTTTTATATATATTTTTTTTTTTTTTAAAGCCGAGATAAGTCTACTTACACATGTTTCGGGCCCCAAACCATATTAGTCCAACAATACAATTATTTATGTATACTTATAACCCGCCTCTTTCTTTTTTTAAAAACGTTCCAGGGTTAAAAAATAAAACCTTTATAATTCTGCGTCAAGTAATAATTTATGCATGTTGTACGAACTGATTATATTTTTTTTTATTATTATTTACATGTTAATTATGTAGGAAATAATACAATAGTTGTTTTTGACCGTATAATTTGGTTCGTCGTGTAAATCAACAACACGGTGGTATTTTTTTAATTCAATTTTTAATACTGTGATTAACCCGAATACATTGACGCTAAACACAGCGAGTATTGCAGTAGGTACTCATAGCTATATAATTATTAGTTTAAAGTCCTTTTTTATTTTTGTCTGTTTTTTTATAATTATAAAAATAAAATACAATTAATATTATCTAAGTTTTGGGGCAAGACAATCAACTTACATTAAGTTGTTGATATGCAACTGAATGCGGTTAACGGTTCCAACCCAAACTGAACCACTCTCATTTAACCATTAACTATTGTCTTTGAAGTCACGAGTTTCGATTAAGTTTGTCCTTACCATCGTTATTAGTTTGTGAATTCTTTAAGTAACCGGAAAAAGTATCAAAATACAAATTAAAAACGACAATACCACAAAAATATTGTTCTAATAATTTAAAGACAGTATAAAAATCTTTAAAATATCATCTTTTGTAGGTTATAGTTATCTTTTTTCAGTTCTCTAATATTTTTAACCATGTATACTTTATTTACCTTTATTCACCTTAGAGTTGATGGCAATTTTATTACCAGCGAAAACTGTGGAAATCCAATTGTTAGGTATTCATTTTAAAATTTACATCAAATTTGAGTTCAAAGTTTCCAAAAATACACAAATAAATATGCGCCATATGAATTTGGAAAAAAAAACTAAACTATGACTCCTTACAACAATTTTAACTGTTCTCATTTCCTAATGTCCCTAACGTATGTCATTATGAACAAATTTTTTTCTAAATAATTAATAAAACAGCCTCTCAGACCTTCTTGCTAAGAGGTTAATTTTAAAAATAATAGCTACCTCGAGAGCATAGCATAATTTAACTCGCCTTGACGGTTTCCTAATCAAAAATATAAAAGGTACCAATTTTAACGGGTTTAACATTCATTTTGGAATACGGAACACCCCCCTCCTATCTTCTCTCTTCAAAAATAAAGGTTTCGCCGTGTTCCAGCCATATAGATTCAGATGGTTTACTTTTGTGGAATGGTTTTTTTTCACATGGTTTTCCATTAAGCGATCAATAAGCAAAAAGTACCATCTACGGGTTAACAAAATATAGAACGGATAAAAGGAAATACAACTAAATTGCAATTCCTCGAAGACTTGGGATGATTAAAAAACTACATTTACACATCACGGTCGGATTGCCTTTGAGTGTGCTTGTGTACACAGTTTTTTACAGAGTTTATTTAGAAACAACGCAATATTGGCTCTGGTTTGGTTTTCTTAGAGTTTAAAGAAAGAAAAAAAAAGCATTTTACTAGTCAAGTGTAAACTATTTCCTATAGTTTGTCAACGTTTTATTTTTCATGTTACTTATCAGTCTGTTCATATCAGCCGTTTGTCTCGTCAACAGTGTGACCACTTTGTTGTCAGTTTATAGTGCGTAACAGTGTTGCCAATTAGGTTAACAAGTAAGATTTGCGTTTGTCTTTGAAATGGGAAATTAATTAAATTCACTTGAAACGAAAATGCTCAATAAAATCGTATTTCAGACAATCCACGATAAACGTCTGCCGTATTCGGCTGAACTGGTAGTAAAAGTTAACTCGACTAGACGTTATGATATTATGTAAATGCTATTGCTAAAACCATTTTTTTTTATGGACAAAAACGCTTAAGTATTTCCATAACGGTTTCGCGTTCCGAACAAACTAAACAAAAAACAATTACACAGTCGAATTAAAACGGTTTACACGCACACACTGTAAATAACCGACAAAAATCTCTCCGGGTTTATTATAAACTGTTAAATTAAAAGCTTATATTACATGTTCACATGCGTAATTCCAATTAGGCTTAATTGCTTAACGTTCGTAGCATGCGAAAAACAACAAACGCTTAAATTTCCAGTAGATTCGCCCAAAACAATAAAATCATAATATTATCATAATAAACTAAATAATAAATTTTGCTTGATTGGTTTGGCCAATACAGTTATAAATTATTCGAATGAATTTTTAATTTAAATAATTGTTTCAATACAAAAAATAAACACATTAACTTCTTCGCTACACGGAAAAACATAAAATCATGGATATGTGTTCCCCTTCCCTCCCTGGCCGTTCCCACGTCTTTCCGTCCCCTTAGTTCTTCCCCTCTCTGATATATCTAATAGTCTTCTCATTCCTACTAACCTTAACATTTAATCTAAATCAAACCTAAACCTTACTGATCTCATATCAGGAGCCATTGTCAGCTGTCCCTTGTCAGAAGCTGTTTTCAGATGTCTCAAATAACTACTTCTTTACCCAAGATTACCAACAGTTTGGTGTAAAGTTTATAAAAAGTTAACCAGAAGTTAGCAAAAATTTCAACATAATATACAACAATTTTTTTAGACACATCCCACACATGTTATACATTTATATTCAAATGCAATAAAATGGGTAGCTAATCCATATAGTATAACAAGATGTGTTTGCGATAAAGAACGTACAAGAGCCGGAGATAAGGATGACGGAGTACGGTGCTGATTCAGGTGAATAATTAACAAGGGTGGCGCAGTCGGAGGGGTAAGAAACAGAAGGTGGTCCCTTGTTAGCACATTACCAAACGCAAACAAAATATTTCACGAGGGTACACAAGACGAATATAATTGGCCGAAATTATTTATTTGCTAACTTCGCTCGTTAAACTCTGCAAGACCTTTGAACGATGTCGATCACAGTAAGGAAAAAAACGGCACCTAGTAGACCAAATAATACAAATAGCAAAAAAAAAAATACTAAATATATTTAAAATTCATCAACCATCGTATCTTTGAATAAAATTTCTCTCACTCAAAGGTGGCTTGAGGCAAATAAAATACACACAGTTAAAAAGCTGTCAGCTTGTACTATAACCCATAATAAATGGTTTTAAGGGCGAATCGAGTAGTTATTATTATTCGAAAGTTTTTTAAATCACCAAATCAACAATTTCAAGCAACAACAACGGCAGTTTTGAAATTTGAACAAATTACCTTTAATTTCCACGTCCTAATAGAATGAATAATTTATTTTGTAAATTATTAAACTAACAAAAAAGTGATGAAAGTAATTTACTTCACATCAGCATTCAGTACAAAAAATTATGTAGGTATATATATTCATATATTTAAAATATAAATTAAAATGTGAGGAAAATATAAATCTGATTGCCGACTTCTTTTTTATTACTTACTTTTGACTCGGTAAATTTTAATATTGAACCACTGTGCGCTGACAACACACACTTTGGTGGAAACATTACACAAGTTTCAGATTATATTATTTTATGCCTTATGAAGTTAGCAATAAATATATACAACAAATTGCAGTAAGATTGGTTTTATATTTTTTGGCAGCAAATGTTCAAAAATTACCTAATATTATGTTCGTTACACTAGGTGTCCCACCTAATACGAATGCAAACTAGAAATATGTATGACCCATTAACTTTACTTGCTAATGTGTTTTTCTTCGGCATTCCACAGTGGAAAGTTCTCTTGCATTCTCCACATGCGCCACGGTTCTAACCTATCTCGTTTATGCTCATTCATTATTCGCCATATTTTAATCTAGCGAATTCACAAATCCATCATGCTGTTTTCATTTGCTATGCTTCGGTCGTTCCGGGCTCGTTCATCTTATTCAACGCCCAACACTTCTCCCATCGTACGTCGTCGGATTCATTACAAATTTATAGGATTACATTTTTACCCTAAGGATTTTCTCGCTTATGAAAACCAAAAAAATATAATGCAAAACATGAGGCAAAGAAAGTGTGTACAGACACTTGTAACTCGGTCTGTCAGGTACAGACTATTGTTGTTGGATTGTCTAGTCTATCACGGTGTTACCATGTGGACTGTATCTTTTCGTTCGGAAATAAGTACTGTTGTTTACTCGAGTAGAGCAATCATTTGGCTCAAAAGAAATTTATCGTCTAAAATTTCCCCAGTATACTTTTTCCTTCGCGAAGTCGATTTTGTACCATTTTATAGTATGCCTTTAGAGTTTGATCTTCCATCAGACCGAATTCTTCATGATGTAGCAAGTCCACAGAATCTGAAAATTTGAATGAAGATAGATATAGAGTTTATTTTATAGTCGAATTTTCTCAAAGATCGAAGGTAAAACTTTATTTTTTATTAAGGAAAACCCTAAAAAAAAGGAAATGCATTTTGACCATAGTAATTTCAACGTGAGAGTAAATTTAACAGTGGGGAGATATCTAATAAATGGATTAACTTTGCTTCAGAATCGAGTTGTGTCTTTTTTCGTTGGACACGTCGATATGTCTTTGGAGTTTATATTTCATACACAATATATTCTTGTTTTTATTAAGATGTTAACAAACTTATAGATTTCTCCCAGGAGGGGTGGAATTTTTATCTTAATTTCTATTTGTCAGTGTAGTTTTAGGGTTTTAAGCATTGGCGGGGATCAGGGGAGCCTTGAAATTCTAAAAATCTTAAAACTTAAAATTAGTACTATATTTATTTTTATGTCAATAAATCTCTAAAAATAAATGTAGGTATTTTGAAAAGCGCTAATTTAAAGTTTTTAGAATCCCAAGTCCACCTGATCTATGGCAATGGCTTTAGGTCTGAAAGTTAGACTCAAGGTAGTTCTATTTTTTTTTTCTATTAAGGAAATACCAAAAATAAAACGGCATGATCATGTTATCAACGCCTAACCTAATATTTTTATAATTATCATTGTAAGTAACATTACATTTTTACTTTCCATGAAATTGGTATGCAAAATGGCCACCTTCCAGGTTGGGACATTTTTCAATCTTGTTGTACGTTTCATACATTGAGTTCGCTGACTTCGTTCCTACTATGCCACAACCGTACTGAACTCGAATTTTTAACAATTTTTTTATCTCCTCCTGCGTAGTCCCTTTGCCTGCTACTGTAATTACGCCTAGGATTGTGATGCGGTCGGTCGCGGTTGGAATACCCGATGCTCGTTTGTAGGTATAAAACGCTTTTTGTTCGGTCGTATCATTCCAGATGATACATACATTTGCTCGAAGGAGGCACCTAGCCCTGGCTGCTATACGACGACACACGTCATGTGAACCCCAGCAAAGTAAACGTCGAGTCGCGGTCCCACTGTGCATATTAAACGCCGTCGTCGGTTCGCATTAGCATATTGCACACACAATACACAGTCGCAAATAGTGTACTTGTGAGTAGTGTGTGGTCGGCAAAACGACCCACGATAACGCTTCACTGCCGTCGTCGTCGGTTCCAGAAGAGCGTGGAAAGAGATCTAACATATCTGCTGCTATTGTTGTACCTGACGACAAGCGATTGTCGGTTAACCCAGCAGTGTGACGTGTACTTGCCGAGAGCACTAATAATACATACTCTACACGTGTTGGGAAATAGTCAAAATCAAGAAGTATACGAGCAGTGTTGGCAAAGATAAATAATTCTAAATTACCTAGCTGCGACTAAGAGATAATTCGTTGAAACCCTTATTTAGGTAAGATAACAGACCACAAGCGTTATTTACTATTCTCACAGAATAAATGATAGCAGAAGGGTCACTTTCAACTTAAACAAAAAATTGAAGGCCAATTTGTGATGGACTATTTAGTAATTTATGTTATTCTACACACAATAAATAAGAAATACTCTTCTGTGGATGTATTGGAGAGGACGTCGTTTATGTGTATACCAATTGCTTATTTGTATGTTTTTCCATACCAATCAAACACCTATCAAAAACGTTCTTGGGCATTTTGGTTATTCTTTTAAATCCAGTTGAAAGAAATATGATTATGTTTTAAATACTAAATATATCTGTATATATGTATAGAGAGACCGAGAGGGATTATTATTACGGACTTCAGTGAAAAAACCGCTTGTCCATTAAGTGGGTATTAACTTAACAATATTATCAGCGAACGTTTTTAATTGTAATAGCCATTTATAGAATACTTCTAACAATAGCGTTCTTTAAAAGCTTTCTTCTTAGTATCCGAGCAAAATCGTTATTATAATTTATTAAACATTTTATCCTATCGCGTTTGTATAGCAACTTAAATTATATTCCATTGTTTTGCGAGTCATTAATAAACTGTTAGCTAGGTACATAATGATATAAAGTTCTTTTACGGAGAATTTTAATATATTTTCAATTAACGTCCCTAAAGCGTTTTAGTTGACAGTGTCAACAATGCGAGAAGAAGTTTGCCGAAGACGGCTAATAAATAAAACGTGTCATCTACTTCGTATTTATTTCGAGGAAATTAAAAATCACAATAATTACTTTAGTGAAATTGATTTCATGATGAAAAAACCAAAAACAAATTATTTTACCCCGAAGTAGTCCCAATAGGGGAGATGTTAAATAGGGTTGAGAACGTGATGATGATGATGATAAGAAGGAATGGGTAACTGGATAACTTCTAAAATGTTATTGATCAGCTGCTATGAGATGAATGATAAAATAAGTAGCTGATAGGAGACAATCAATTGGATAATGTCATAAGACGAGTTAATCATGATCTAAACTTTTCGCTATTATGCAAGCAGTAATAGAAAATCAAATATTTTTTGTTTTTTGCTTACAGGCCAACCGGAACCATCGGTGAGATGGTGGCGTGGAGAGACTTTGGTGGACTCTGGTAGCGGCCAAGAGTTGTCATCTAAGTATTTCAGCACTTCATCGACCACTTTCCGGCACAATCAACTGACGATCGACTCTCTCACTCGGGACGACCAAGGAGCCGTTTACACTTGCCAGGCTTCCAACAGCAACTTGTCGGCTCCCGTCAGCGCCAGTGTTACCATCGAGATGTACCGTGAGTACTGATTATAATACAGGTTTACCATAATCAATCCGTTAGTGTCACGTGTCTCAACTCACGGCCATACGGACCACCAAGAAGGATTGGGGAAAATATATGGGATGTGTGGTAATGAGGATGAGGATGGGGCGAAGTGAGAAGGTTAAAAAAAAGAAGATAAGTAAGGTCAGGGGATGGAAAGTCTGGTGGGAGAGGGGTGGTAGGGAAAAGGGAGGGTGGGAATATGTGCTGTATATCACCACTCATCCCTGAAGAACTGATAAGAAACTATTGATAAGCTAATCACGAAATTAATTTAGCTGAATAAACACATGTGCACGACCAAATGTTTTAGCTTAAAGAACCGAACATGTTGGTGATTTGTTTTTTTTTTGTTGTATGGATGTGGTTGAGGTTTAGAGTTTAGAGAACTGAGGTATAAAGAGAAATGTTTGAGTATTTACAAGGGCTTGTAATTCCCACAAAAACGGCTGATTAGATGTAATGTAATGTATTTGTAATTTACAACAACCAAAATGTTTCAAATGGCTTTCATCGATTTGCAATACTCAAACGTCAAGTTGACATTTTAATGTTTTTACATAATAAAGTAAATTTTGGTGAACTTAAAGACGGCAACCCTATGGAAACAAGTGGGTTTTTCTAATTTTGGAAACTTATTAAAAAACTATTGTCAAACGATTCAAATGGGTTACTGGAATGTTTTGTGCTTGATCTAAACAAAACGATTTTGATCCAAGTTATTACGTTGGTAGATTTTCAATTAAATTTGTCGGCCAACGCGAACTTCTGTATTTTAGGTAAGATTAAAATAAAATACCGTGTTAAGGACTAAGGTTATTTTGAGAACTGTATAAAAAAAACATTCACGATGATGGCACTGGCGCTGAAAGTTTTTACATTAGTCATTTGTTCTTAATTTCATAATATAAAAATCGTCGGCTACATAAAACCCTGTATTATTAGGAAGAAAAATAAAACTTCACGAGTGTTTCCGTCACTGGAACTGTAAGTTTATATTATTACACGTTGAACTTAGTTTTTAAACAACCCAACAACCACAGGGCTTTCATACCATTACACATACATAAAATAAAACAAGAAACTCAAGTAATTCTCGGGCGACAGCATCATATTTTCCGGCGCATAATAATAATTAATTGTTGCCAGTATATTATAGTGCACCTACACCACTATAATACAGTCGGCGTTCAAAAGGACTGGGTTGTTCGTAACAGGTAATTTGTTGTTTGTCAAAATACTTTTCTAGTAGGTTTTTTTTTGCCCACGACGACAAACTTCCCCACAAAATTTGTGTTGAATAATCCCCCCGGACAGTACTTATATTTTGAACTAGTTTTGAACAACGGTAGTTGGAATTAATCCGCCTTGGCCCTGATTTTAAATAACCGAAATAATTACAATAATAAATAAATTTTGTTTTGCTTATACCTTAAAAATACTGTAGTTTTTCTGTTCGTCCAAGCTATTCGACTAGTCTCCCTTTTTACTAACAACATATATTTTTTATATCAGCTAATACTTAACAAACATTTCATTTGTAAATTCGTTTCGCGCATAGGTCGATAGGTCACTTGACTTATTCGTGGAGTTACAGACAAAAGAAAATACTTGGAAATGACCTAAGAAATCATAAGTCAAGATGTTACGGCCATGGCGTCCGGAGACACGATTAGTTTCTTTTGTTGGTGGTTTGTATAAATAATAAAAAAAAAACATTTCACTTTCTTTAGTTTGTTAGGGCGAGTTTATATTCTTTTGATAGCGTAACTTAGAAATATAATAACGCGAGATGAGTTTTCGATTTTGGATATTGTATTAAAATATAGTTTGAAAGTTTCCTCGTTTTTCTTTTATTGACTATAACTTTAAGAATAATTTACAAATGGATATCGCGTTCGCGTTTTGATTTTTTTCCAAATAAAGTACTTCTTAAACGAAACTTTTGCAAAGTTCATTAAATAACTAACTTTTGACCGCCGTCGTTGATCAACAAAACCGCAAGATTGCTATCCGAATAAATAGTTTCTTCAAATATTTATATATATATATATATATATATATATTGTGTAAATATATAATATATAATTTATTTTTGTTTACCGTTAGTTAAACTTTTCCTTTATTGTGGAAAAAAAACTAGTAAAGTGATTGCCGTGAACGTAATTTTTTCTATTAAACTATTTATATCGTCTACGTCATTTTTTTAATCACATTTTTATTGGATAAAAAACAAGCCACGGCAACATAAAAGGCAAACTATTTCACACAATTTTAAATTCGATAGTATTCTATACATGATGTGTAGGTACTGTTATGAATTTCAGTGTACCCGTTTTAAGTGTAGCTAAATAGTAAATTATCATATAACAATGTATACTTAATTACCAGTCGAATATTACTAGAGTAACTGTATCAATTAAAATATTATCACCGTGGGTTCTTATGTGTGAGTATCAAAGTATGTAAAGTACTTGACAACCGAGGTCTTTCCTTATATTGGATACGTTTACCAACGTAGGTATATATTTTTTAAATAAAATAAACCAACGTTATGTTTGAGTGTCGGTTGCTCCCCTTCCAATAATAATCGAAAGAAAAAAAGCGAATGAAAAGTTTGGTAAAAACTTTTTTTTCCAGCTAAGGATATCGTTAAGCCTCCCGGGACGACGATTGTTGTCTGGTAGATAATCAATGATTTTAAATAAAAAGACTTTAATTAAAAAAAAAAAGGCACCCATCCAGTGCAATTTATTAGTGTACTTTTTAGATATTCAACTCTCCCGGGACCCGCGGTATTTTAATCCCTAATTCCAGAATAAAGCGGATGTTCTCAGAAAGAGACTTCGGTAAGTAATTATTGTTCTTTTTACAGAAGTCCGACCGTGAGACGTGAACTTTTCAAACTTTCGAATTGAGACTATTTTAATTTATTATTATATTATTATTTTTTACGGGTTTGATACTTAGCTATAAAATACTGACAATGATATTGTTTTAACGAGTATGGCAATTGACTCTACTTGACGGTGGTTTTTATTTACAATAATAAAAATAACTATTTCAAAATTTTCTAAAAATATTTAAGTATTGTAAACACCAAAAAGAGTATAATTGCTCAATTTTGGAAAATTATGATTAGTCATATTTAATTACAGTAAAACTTTCTTCACACATTTAGTCTAAAAACGGGTTTTTTTCTTTGAATTGTATTTGATTTCATTTGCAACGTGACAGAGTTATAATAAATAATGACAAGAAAACAGTTCTATGATTTAGAAACATGAGTACGTAATGTGCTTTTTTAAGAACAATTATTTATATATTTACTTATTTGCATATAAATAAGTTAATGGACTAGCCTTTTTAAAATGTTGACACTATCAAAAACTTAAGAATATGTGTTTTAACATGTTCTAAATAGAGAAATATGAATATGAAAATTAAACACGTGTAATTGCAAATTTCAATTTTTTTCAAAATTTTATCAATAACCACAAAAGTTCTAAAACACATTTTAATAGCGTTACACTAGTAGTCGAATAATTAAAAATTTATAAAATTTAGTTGCATCTTAACAATGATCATTAATGTTGGAAAACCTATTTACTTTTAATTACGAAAGACTATTACAAAAAATAGTAAAAATAATGTTGGAGTCGAAAATCAAGCAAATATTTTTTAAACTTACTATTTACATAACACCTTTTTGGTTACGGTTTTTGAATATAAGTTCTGAAAATTAGTCAGACATTTTTTTAATTTTAGTTAACATTTTTTTATTGTGAAAATTACTATAAAGCTTTTAAAGTCATTTTTTTAAATAAAAATTAATAATTAATTATTGAATAAAAAAACAAGCTTGTATTGTTGCGTATTAGAGACAACGCCCAGAGGATGATAGAACTTAACTCGAAGCGTTCCCAACGAAAAAAATGAAAAACATTGTTTTTCTACTCCGTCAATTTCGATTTATATTATGATAGTAAATAATGTAAAAAATACATATAGCCGATTTCACCAACATTTGTTAACTTATCGTTAATTATATTTAACAACTGAGATTTGATTATAAAACTATTATATTATCAACTTATCAGTTATACCATTTTGTGATAACCGATGCGAACATTTGAATCAAGGTAACCGCTTTGGTAACTATCATTTTGTTATGGTTAATCGTTTTTAAATACTATTTTATTATACATAACCATAAGTTGCTCAAGTTTTTTTTAATTTTTGTTAACTTAACAAATATAATTTAACAATACTATTGTTACAATGAAACCGGCTTATACAATAATAAAAATAGACAATTTATTTTTAGTTTAAATTAATTAAATATATAATATCTTAAGTTGGAAATACAAGTTGAAATCGTTGTGGCGATTTCACGTGAAACAATAATTTTATAATGAATATTATATAATTTACACATAACTATGAATATTTTATTTAGACAATTCAATATCTAATTCTATGATTTTCCAGAAAGTTTTTTTTTTTATAGCTTCAACTCATAAAATATGTACAAAATGATATAATATGTATGTACACAATACACGGAAACTTTTTGACCAAAATCAAAAGTTTTTTTGGGTTTTCTGAAATAACATAATAATTCATAACCGTTAACATGCGAGCTACGGTCCGCCTCTCGTTGTATATTTAAACGTGAAGTGGTTTTTGTAAAGTTTCCGTGATTCGTAAAGTAGGTAAAGAATTAAAAAATCATTTTCCCCGGAAAACGGCTTAAACTCGTTTCGACCCGAAGTGATTCGGCGAAATTCCATTCCGATGTTGACCTTCACAAAAATATCATAAAAACTGTTTGTTGGAATTGCAACGAAATACATTTTGGTTAAAATTGAAGACAACTGTGGTCGAATTATTCTAGGATCCTTCCATAATTTTTAATTTAAAAAATCTCTTTTTCTCTCGTAAAAGTAAATTAAAGTTATCTTTCAATGTGAAATAGAACAATGCAAAAAATTAGATTTATAATAAAAATTTGTTTTTCCAAATATCGTTAAACATGTTTGTCGTAACATTATGGTTTGTATGTAATAAATTTTCGAAAACTAATTAACAATTTCATACTTTGTAAATGACACGATTTCGATTTAAATTTGTTTAAATTGTTTGCTAGTAAATTTCCAGGTGGTTATTGAAAAAAGTACTATGCCAATTTCCCAAATGGTTTTTTAGTCTACTCTTTGATGTGAGTGTGTCCGAAATTTAGAAGAATCCAAAATTTAAATGTTAAATCGGGTATTAACGCGCTTTAGCGCTGCCTCAAAAATTAGAGTACATTAAAAAAAAAATTAACCGCATGTCATATTCAGTGGTCTAACGAAATTTCCACTTCTAATCTGAATGATTTTTCCTTACATTCATCAGTCTATCGATTGGACATGTGTCCAACTCATCTTTTATTATATTTTCGTCGAGGAAATTAATTTTCCAAACCATTCGTAGGTATGATTTAAATATGAATTCTTTAAAATTATTTTAAAATTAACATCACCAACTTCGTTGACTCAAACACAAATTTTCAAACATAATATCCAGTTAACCGACACTTTTGCCTTATAATAATTTAAGACTAGTCAGTTGAGTTTATTTTGTAATAATTATACATTATGTAAACGTAATTCGGTTGACAGTGGCGATAATAATATTATGGAACGATACTTTACACCGAATGTGTCTATGTTTATATATATATATTTGTACAGTTAATTGGAGATAATATATGTCGACACTTTATAACACTGTAAATTATAATAATATTACATTATCGAAGGGATAATTTTGCACGTGGCGGTTACAATATTAGTACTGTTTGAAAATTTAAATTTATGGAATGTAAATGGATGTGAAAAATAAATTGATAATGTTATTACACCGGTCCAACCCCCGTGAAACATTATACTACAAACTTATAACGTTATACTATCACATTATTTTCATTATACATACATAATATTAATATAATCCCAAAAATGTAATACCATACTTAGTTTATGATCAAAACTAATTTTCAATCGTACGTTTTAATAGTTTGATAATAATGTTCCTAAAATGTCTTATATATTTTGGCCGGAGATTAAGTATTTAAAAAATTTTATTGATCCCTTACGGCAAAAAAATTTTCAAAATTCTGTCCAAAATGTTTTTATCATTGTTAAATTTATTGGAAAATAACGTTTTCATAGATTTGTTATAATTTTGATGAGTCAACAATTTTGATTTAAAATGGTTTAAATTATATTTACTGAAAATTTCAAAACCAGTATTGAATAATTACTTTTAGAGTTCTAAGTTTTATGTAAGAGGAAAAACAGTGTAAAGTATTATTTCTCTCTGGGTGCATTTTCCCTGCTTTCTTGAGATTTAAACTATAATAGCTTATAAATTAATATTATCCAAAATTGATTGTCGACGTTTATTAGTGAAATATTCTTAATTGAAAAGCTATATAAAATATACACGTTACCAGTGAGGTGTGTAAGGTCAGGAAAATCCTAAATAGTGATTATTTGGTAATTTTTTTATTAGGCATTATTAAATACCATAAACTAAAGTGTCTTCAACAAGATTTCAATTAATGTTCGAAAAAATGAGTTTCTTATACTTAACGAATCACCCTGTATGCAGGTCAATAATGGTGTGGTCATTCCCACTTTTAATTTGGTGTGTCGTTCTCTTGTCGTCACTCTTCCATCACCGACGCCTGTCCTAGACCCAATTAATCAATTTTTTTTCCGCTTTAACCTCAATTATTTCTACTCTTATGAGTCGCGTGATACATTAATGTCTTGTATTCATTTGTCGGACCATCCATTAACGCCACACGTCTAACACATCCATCTAGGCCGCAGGAGACCTTAGCATTTTTTCTTATTTCCAACCTTTTTGCCGGTCCAAACCCTTTTTTCGTGTAGATATCACAAATTGAAAACTCACTATCACCTTAAAGTTTTCAAAAAAAAATTTATCCCGAAAAATCTTAAATGGAAGACCTCTATCAAGTGCAATAAATTATTATTACTACAAAACATTCTGTGTGATAAATCACAAGGAACAAGACTGCAGGTACAACTATTTGCAATTGTAGATTTGATTGATGAATTATTATTAAAACATTCGCCTTATTGATATTTGATTTCTCCTCAAAATGTGATTTTCAAATGTTTTTTTTTTTGTAAACATTTAAATTTAATAAACATTGTAGTATATTTTGTTAGAACGATACAAATATTTTCAATTATATGTGAATATATTTTTGATATTTTCTCAAGTTCTCAGTGGGGTAGTGTATATGATTCAACATTAGGATCTGACCACTTGGTCGGGTTACGATTATGTTACATTTTTGACGCGGAAAATTAGATCAGTATTTAAAAAGCCTTTGGAAACTCTAATAAATTTCAATAATAATATTATCACAATCTTCTTAGTTTTAAATGTAATTCGAATATATAAGTTACCGTTTAAGTTTCAAAAGTCGATAGAGCTCTGAAATATATTAAAAATGGTATATAGTATTATTGAAAAACCAAAAAAATTGCCATTGTTTTAATAGAAAACGATTGTCTAATACACATTATACTTAATAAATCAACCTGTGTATAAAATCAAAAGCACAAACACAACGTGGCCGATTTACGATCATCATTGCCGTTAAGAGAAATCAAAAAAACATCTACACTCGGTCGGATGATCGCCGCGGGTAAAACATTGTTACGGCTAACAAAAATATGAACATGAAAATAAAAATAAACTACCGGGCCGCGCACACACATGTGTACACAACAAAAGGTAGGTACCTTTAAAACACACTCTGGAATCTAAGTTCGGCCGACCGTGACTTCCTAATCTGGCGGACGGTTAGCGCTTTCACGCGAGGGGTATGCGGACAAAACAATCGGGTGAGGGGAAAAAAATCCAAAATGGGGAGGGGGTGCGAGGTGAAGGAGTGGGCGGAAGGGGTAAAGGATACGACTAGCGAAGGAACCCGCCGTCCGGTCCGGCTCGCATCCGGTCGGCGGTGCCATCGTTTTTCCAATCCATTACCCTTATGTGTGTCCGGCATAAGTGGCGGTTCTTACTTGTCCGTAGCCACCATTACATTGTATTCTCAAACCGAAAACAACCGCACGAAACATGTATCACACACACACACAAAAGGATATAATACAATGTGCCTTGACCCCTTAGGGTATATTGTTTTGAGCCTATAGGGGCGAAGACGTTTCTTTAAATTAAACTTGAATTTATTTTTTCAGTCAAGCCACTGAAAGTAGAGGTGCTCAGCAGCCGCCAACCGTTGAGCGCTGGTCGTTCGTACGAAGTGCAATGCCAATCGACTGGATCGAAACCGCCGGCCAACATCACTTGGTGGAAAGACAACGAGAAGCTAGCTAACTTTACGCAGACTGTAAGTACTCTGTACTGTTTAAACGGGCTTCTACGGGGGAAAATAGTCTCGGTTGGCAACACTGCATACTCTATCGAGTGGCATCACTGTTCATCGTATGAAATCGCTAATAATATCAACAGGGATCCCCTACGACCGCGGACCGACTAGTAGCACTGGGTGCTAATTGCGGGCCGGGGAAGGTGTGTCTCAAGAAGAAGTGACCTGTTAGATGGCCACTTATCGGAGGGCTCTACGTCACTTTAGTCGCCTTTAACGACAGGTGTGAGGCCCTTGGTAGAACTCTTTCTCCCCTGACCACAGGGATATAATAATATTAACAATGGAATGTATAAAAATACAATACAGATTACACACGTTACATCGGTTTTAGTAGCACATAATGTACATTTTGTACTAATTGTGTCTGCGATTCGAATGTACATTATTTTTATCAATTCAACACAATAAAACTATAAAAACCCACAGCTTAATGTATCTTAAGCCCGATTTCGCTGTAAACTTCTGTGCCGAGGTTAGATTTATTTGTTCTCGATAAAAGCGCCCGATGAGTGTGAGAAAACAAAACTTTTTCTATTGTGTAGCGGTTGTCCGACGGTCCAACGGCTTCTGCCAACGACAGACGTGCAACCGTTTCACACTGAACTCGCAAGTTAAATTGAAAAAATATAGATTTTATCAGCGACCCTCCGAGAGTTTCAAATTGAAATCCAACGGTTTTAAATTGTCTACATTTTTCTCTAACGGCCAGAAAAACGTTTACATTGCATCAAGAATGAATCGCATTATCCGGTTGTATACTTGAAGCTCCATCCAGAATTTTGTTGATCGGTTATTTTGAATACTACCACCGTATATTATTATTATTATTATTAAATATATATTTTTCACTATCGCGTTTATCAAAATTTAAGTACACAATAATAGTACGCCAATCGTAAAACCTAATGGGTGTGTATCGTTGGGTTTTCCACTTGTACACTATTTACATAAACTATAAAAAAGTGCTTTGAGGAAGAACAGCCCTCGAATATGATTCATCGCCTCCTTCGCGTTACCGAAGAAAAGTTTTTTAATAATATTATTAAGCGCGTCGTAAATTAAATCATAATGTATAAAAATAAGTATGTCATCGATTTGAGTTTGTCGTTAAAAAAAAAAAAAGCGGATGTCGTCCTAATTTTGGTATTTGCTTTTCAATGTGATATTCTCCCAAACTAGATTTGCATACTGTTGTTGGATTTTTAATACTGTAAAAAATTTCAAATTTAAAGGTTATTTTTAAAAACGTATAGAGAAGTGAAAAAGTGCTCAAGTGCATAAGTTTTTATTAGGCTAATATTTAAGTGACCAAATTTAAATATATTTTTTTGGAATTCATATTCGATACACAACAACACGCGCCTATTAAGATATAATTCAGCGTTTTTCAACTTCGACGCGAAGCTGAAAAGGTATAAAGTGACAACTCCATAGATTAAAAACCGTATCTAAAGAGTATATCAATCTGAAAATTAAAAAAACATCATCACCTTCCCCTTCAAAATCGAGAAAATACTCAAAAACTGTATCAATTTAAAATTACAGTGCTAAAAATAGCTTCATTAGATCCAAATTTGTTTGTTTTCATCTTTAACCGCGATTAACTCTCTAATACTAAAAACCATACAATTCTAAGCACATTATTATGCTCTTACATTGCTTTTGTATTGATATTCAATAATACTACCGTCTACACATCTGCAACGGAAATATGAAAATGACTTTATCGTTTTCAGTAAAAATAATTCCTGTAAACCTACGTTTTTCGCCTCCCTCCTCTTCGTGCCCTGAGCCCATTGTGCTGGTTATTTTTTATTTTTTTTATTCGTTTCGCTATTTTTTTTTTTTTGGTGTTATTCAATTCGATTAAAATTAATTAAAAAATACTATTGTCGGTCTCGCAGGTTTCGGTCGACGGCCAAGTGACTTCATCGACGCTGGTGTTTCGCCCCGAGAAAACCGACAACGGCAAATCAATAGTGTGCCGAGCTGAAAACGAACACGTCCAACAAGAGGTGGACGGCACTTATGGGGCCGAAGAGGATTCGTGGACAATCGACGTGCACTGTGAGTATTCATCAATCATTAATCCTATTTTATTGGCCTTATAAATATGCAGAATTACAGCTTGACATAGGGACTCAAGTTGAAACCGATTTGAAATCGAATTTAAAACATAATTTTGCCTATTTAAATATGCTTAAATGGAAAAACTGTGTTTGAGTTGGGAGATGGGAACCCCATTATTTTAAAACATCTCATTGTGTTTATCAATTGTGTAACAATTTGTTTTTTTAATGTTTGTCTACATAATTATGAAATTAAAAATAGATGTTCCCATTTGAAAAAAAACAAAGTTCATACTTTATTTACGTATACGTATATGAAGATAATGGTTTTATAAGTATTGAAAAACATAGTGAAATATGTACCTACAAGTATGGGAAACAAAATATTCATATTTTCCTAGAACAATGAGTGTCTTGCTTCAAATGGATCTTACGGTTAGGTTAGGTTAGGTTTACAGTGTAATAGCTTGTTTTTAGAATATTCATAAAAGAAATCCGCCAAACAATCGTTGAATGTGAAACGCGATTAATGTTTTTCAAAGCAAAAAAATGTGTGCAACATAGTGCTGACATCTAGTGGTAAATAAGAAAAACAAATATTACCCGATGTTACATTCAGATATTTTTATATTTATTTAAACGTCGCGTCAAGACATTTCCAAAATTTATCTTGCACATATTTTAAACAAAACATTTAATTTCGCGCCAAAACGTCATTATGAAATTCTTTAATCACGTTTGGAATTTTGAAAATATTTACATTTTTCCCCCTTTGCAAAGCGAATAATTTTCATAATATTACAGTTAAGAAAAACAATTAACTAAATTAACTGAAAAATTTTAAAAATGTTCTTACAATTAAAACCGTTTCTGTATTGGTATTTTTTTCTTGTTGTAATTAAATTTATTTTTTGAGTGGTAAAACTAACAAAAAAACCGAACTGGTGTGTTAGTAAAATCTTTCACTAGGTATGCGTTTTTCGTCCGTCCGATTTGGCGCTTTTGTTTACTTAAGCAGTTACATTTTTCTTGGACATTTCTCCGTTTCCCCGGTGTGGATGTCCTCTGTTCCACACCGTTTTTATTTTTTGTCTTGACAACAGAAATAAGTATAAACGCAGCGTTGTTCACTTAGGCGGGCAATATTAATAACGCCGTTTAGGCGTGTGTCAGCTGTTGTTCGGCGTGTACTAGAAACTATTTTATCCCGCGTTAACAGAAATGATATTTTAAACAGAATCGACCAGAAAGTTGATAATGAACAACAAACAAGATAATAAACACGACGGTTAATGAACGCGCCGCGTGGACGGGTTAACTGGCTGCTATATATAAATAAGAAAAAATGGCCGGCGTTTATTTTCACTAAGTGCCTTTCGTTTCCTTAATTACGCCCCCGAACACAGGGTGCGATACATAAAATAATATGCAATTTGCCCGGCGGCTTATAAATTCAAATAACTATACAAACGGGCCGTGTCGTCGAAACTCGTTAAAACGAATTATTTAACGTCGGCCAAACGTTGTTCGGCCATTTGTTTTCCGACTAATTGCCTTATATTTATATATTATCATAAAATAACGTCACGCGTTCCACCGGATTCCGTCGGTGCTGAAATCTGTTGCTCCTTGTGCAATCTTATAGAATAGTAATAATAATAATTATTATTATCATTAACCGTTTCTCTCGAACACCGTTGATCGGATTTAAGATATTAGCAATAGCTAAGAAAATCGGGCCCTTACCGTTTGTTGAAAATTGATTAAACTCACAATAATTAGAAATGCGCCTGATTTTAATACAGACAAATACCGGGTGGTGTCAGAGCAATCAAAAACTCCGACTTACAGCCTACCGACAAAGACAGTATTAGTCATAACGTTATTCAAACGTCTAAATTAAAACTATTTTTTATATGTTCCTACCCCTCTTTCTCAAACTGATTATTTTGTATATCTTATGTATCTATAACTTTTTAAACTTAATTGGTTACTTTCATTTTTTTTTTTAAATTGAGAATAATGTGTACTTTAAATGTTGACCGGTCGATAACAAATTTTGGATAACTATTTTTGAAGTTATTGAAGTTTCAAGTTTAAGACAGGAGGAGAGGTGGATGTAGTGTTATTTTTACCTGCGTGCACTTCACCTCCCGTCCTAACTTTTAAATTGTTATAACTTTAAAAATAGTTGTTCAAAACTGGTTATCAAGCAGTGAGCAGTCGACAATTTTAGTAAAATATTCTTAATTTAAAACGTCAATAAAATATATACGTTAGACACTATTTATGTTTCAAAAATTTATATAAAAATAATTAGTTTTGGAATAGGGGTAAAAAGTAAATGTAAAACAAAAATGTGAAAAATTGATATCATCTTGTAAAAAAACTATAAAAAAATTAGAATTCCTATTAAACCCTATGAGATATTGAGTGGTTCAAGATAAACTTAGTACCCTGTAATATTACTTATATGGTACTTCATAGTATTGTTTATAATAGAAAACATTTATTGTATTATTAAGTCCCTTTTTTTCATCGTTTTAAAAAAAAAATATTGGCTTTACAAATTTTTTTTTTATATGTATTAGTTTTAAACTAGTAAAACAATAAGTAATGCAACTTTTCCTAGCTTTACAAACGGTTAGGTGTGTTTTGCTAAAGATAGGTTACCTATATTAATATAATAAACACACCAGTTGGTTGTGTAAAATCGCCGGAAGAACCGTCTAATCGTGTTTAATGTACTCAAACCTCGAATGGAAAGTACATTGTATGTATGATAATATTATACAGGTAAACATTTTCCCGACCTAAATGCTACATTGAAACCGTAATTGAACGGACCGATAATTGCTAAATTACTTTACCCCTCACCCTCACGTCAAATAACCCGACCAAAATTAACCAATACAGACCCAACAACAGTGAAGCCAATAATCATACTAAGCTCATACCGGAACCATAATATTATTATGTTCGATCAAACACCAAGTGCATACCAAAATTCGTACTTAAATTCCATCCTTGAGTACTTAGCTAAACTCAGTGGCGTCATTTGAGTTTTTGAAAAGTGGAGGCGAAAGTTTTGGCCTAAGTAAAAAAAAAACCATCACTTTATTATTATGTTATATTAAAATATTTACAGTCTATTTAAAGCCTAATACTAAGCTACACTAACAAATTATACACCTATTTTTTATTTGCTCATGTTATATGATGACTTAGAATAGATTGTTAAAATAAAGGCACCATTCATATGAGTATTAAAATGTTGAATTTACTAATATAGGTAAAATAACTGCAACAATATTTAGTTATTTATACTTTGAATTTTTCTATTACGGGTAGGTCATTATTTAAAAATCATCTGTTGGTAGGTTACTGAATAAACTCAGTTAAGAGTATCCACAATTCATGCAGATACATTAATACATGGATATGTCCAGATATCTATACATCCTTATATTCTTATATATCCTTACATATCCTAATATATCCTTATATATCCTTATATATTCTAATATATCCTTATATCCTTCTACATACTTATATCCCTATATATCCTGCAACTTGATGTAACTGCATTAAGTGTAGATACTCTTAACTTTATTTTCACAATGAAAATTATAATTCAGAATGAGAATTACCATTCTAACTGCTTCCGATTCCTCTCTCCTCGTGACATATCCGAAATATGTAAAACTGTTGATCGCAAGACTCTCTCTTTTAAGGACTCTTAAGACGTAGTGTTAATGTAAACACAAATAATATTAATATTTTTCCAAATAGTATTATTGTGTGTGTATACCGAGTACATATAATTTTTCTATGTTGCCTACACTGCAATAATCGTTTGTAATACATATTTGAAATCAATTAGTTCTATTTTTCACTCCAAAAATGGCTCCAAAAAACAGAATATTGTCCAAAAAAAGATTCATCCTTCTCAAATTTCCCCACTCTTGGCCGTACAACTCCACTACTATATAAATCCGGTTAATAAAAATTGACCTATATATTTTACAAAATATGTATTTCTATGTTTCAGTCGTGCCGCTGTTGAAACTGGCTTTGGGCATTAACATGAATCCGACGGACATCGAAGAGGGAGACGATGTGTACTTCGAATGCAAAATCGACTCAAACCCGCCAGCATACAAAGTCGTCTGGAAGCATAACGTGAGTGCAGTGTTGCCAACTCTCGCTTTCCGTTTGTTTGGATAATACTAGTCTCGGTTTTACCCAGCTCTTATGATCTCTCAAAAATATTTCATTACTTTTGTGAAAAACTAGGGACTTTTATCCCGTTATTGTATACCTAACCGTTTCGCTGCGTTTTGGCCGATGTCTCACTAAACCGACGACGCGACAGTGTTGAAAATGATCAAAAGAACTAAAAAAAGAAACTGACGAAAAAATTATTTAAAAAAAAATACTCTAAGAAAAAACGTTGTTTGCTCGAGACGTAATTATAACAACTATTATGACTGTATTGAGAAAATGTACATAATTATTATTATGTTTACCGTGTCTTTTGAGTGTACCTTTGTCCGTCTCGAGGAAGGGCAGAAGGGCATTTTAACGACTACCGCCCCCCGCCCCTCTCCGTTATTTTTATTGGACTCGGTTAATGTTAATGAAGAGTCTTAAAAGAATAACATCTTTTTAGAACTCCTCGTGCGCGCTGCTGTAATTGCGACTCTCGGGAAAACGTCTTAAGAAAAAAAAACCATCTTCTTCCGGCCGCCTTCCATCTCGGCGTTACACTTACTATAAGTGTTTGTTTGTTTGCACTTGTCTCCAGTGACACAAAAAGTAAATCATCTAAGGGGTCTTGCAAGTGTTGACAAGTGCCGGCCGAATGCGAGCAGATTTCTCGGTCATTCGTTGTAAACGTTATGAACATTCTTATTGGTATCAATCAAATAATTTTTTTTTGTGCCGTTACATTGCTTCGAACCCGAAGTTTATGTTAAAAATAATTTTATTTAACAAACTCTTTATTTATATCACTTTTTTGAGTTTATTTTTGAGACTTCGGGTCTGAAAGTCTGAAAAAATAGACCTAAAAGAAAACAACCCAAATAGTAAAAAAAAATTGATATTTAGCAAACTGCAAATTTATCATTTAATATATTTTTTAATATTTATGGAGCGGCATCGTAGCGTTTTCCCAATCATTCTCAGTTATAATAGTGCTCGGGTTGTTTATTTCAACATAGGCTATTTTATCCAAAGTCCCAATTACTGCGCACCTACTTTAACAATGTATTCATCCATCGAGCGCTTATAAAACCCATGCATTGTATGACGTATAGTTTATACCATATTGTGTATCCGGACAAAGTGAAGTGTAATGAGTGTGTTTTGTATTAATGAATAATATGTTTGTTTGTTTTCCTACTATCGCAGGGTCAAGTGGTCCAGGGCAACGTGAAAGGCGGTGTGATCATGAATCAAAAGGATCTGGCACTTCAGAATGTCAAGAGACAACAGGCGGGCAACTATTCGTGTTTGGCCAGTAACGTAGAAGGAGACGGCGAAAGCAATATTGTCCGGCTGACTGTCATGTGTAAGCCTCGTTGTGGATAATAACTGTACAGCTAATTAAAAAATAAAATAAATACCATCCAACCTATAGTGAAATGTAGCACAGTAAACTACAAAGCTCATTGCCTGTCAAATCTGTGTAATAAATAATAATTATCCATTCACATAAAACAATCTTTGACTAGGTCGTTATTTTTGCTACTTAAAATCAGTACTTTTTATTTTTTATCGTTTTAAACAAATGGAATAATTTAAAGTAATTAAATGCAAACCAAATAAGCAACAATAAAATAATGTGTTTTGATTGCCATTTAAGTTCAACGTTATTATAAAATGACGATTTACATTAACAAGTTAAAATATAACAAAAACAATAGTGGTTTTAAAGGATTGAAAGCGAACAGTATTAAAGGTGTGTTTTAAAGACAATATTAAAGAAAACAGTGGTCTTAATACATTTTGGACATGTCATTGGTTATTGGTCTCTAATTAACTGAGTTATGTTGTTAAAATAACCGTAGAACACTGTCAGGAATTTTGGTAAAAAACAGGCCATTTTCAGTTCACTTAATTTACTTACACACTACTTAAGCAATTCCATGGCGTATTTAAAATCAGAGTACGGAACCAATCCTAAAAATTACCTGGACCGGAATCCAAACAGGAACCTTTATTTTTTTTTACTTACGAGGCGCTCAGATGCCACACCGATTAACTCCATAAAATGAAATTTTTTGGGATAGGCAGTTAAATTTATTTGAAACAACGTATGTAAGTACAGTTGACAATTTTCTTAGCGCACTCTATGGGGAAAAATTCAAGTATGGAGTTATTTATCTTGGCCACTGAAAATTATACACTTTTTTAATTCAACCATGCTATTATTCGCAATTTGAAAAAAAGCGGAGTTAATCGATTTGGCATCCAGGCGCCTCATATGTAAGAACCGGAACCGATAAAATAGTTAAGGTTTCAGTCACTGATTATTTCGAATACTGCCCGCTACCGAGTCGGTTCTCTTAATGAGTCTTATAGCAGATTCGTGGTTTGCACTTGTGAAATACCTAACAATTTGATCTCGTCAACAGACAAACCGGTGTGCAAGAACAACCAAAAGCTAACCTACGGCGTGGCCCGCAACGAAAACACCGAGATATTGTGCGAAGTAGATGCCTATCCGGCTCCTGATGTGTTCAAGTGGACGTTCAACCGCACAGGGGCCGTGGCTTCGGACGTGGCCGGAAACGATATCATGACCCAACAGTCTCGCTTTGGCGGTTCCGGTCTGGAGACCAGTGCCATCAGAAAAAGCCGCATGTCATCCGTACTCAACTACAGTCCTTTGTCGCCTTCTTCGGGCATCGGAGGCGGTGGCGTCAACGACGGTGATTATGGAACAGTGACTTGCCGGGCAACCAACTCTGCCGGACAACAGTTGGAACCTTGTGTTTTCCACGTGATCGCAGCCGGTAAGCGTTATACTTAACTCTCTCTCTCTCTCTCTGTCACTAAAATAACCAACAAAGCGCTTCGAAAGACATTGGATCTTGAACACGTCTATTCTAATTCCTCCCTTCACGCCATCTCCTTCCCTCGTATTTTCTTTTATCATGTACATGTTTTTGGTCTGAAATTAAATGTGCTGAGAACATATTACCACTATCGTGATATAAATAGCAATTACCAATAATTTAAATAACGCTAAGCTCTAATGCATTTGTATGCAAATTTAAATTAACATTAAAATACGACCCTTTGACTTTTTGTCTTTAAAATTTTTTCGTTAAGACATAATATCAACCTCAGAAGCTAATAAACCAGATCGAACGAAAACAACATCTTGAATTGATTGTTTACCTAGATCTAACTCCTAGTTCTATCCTACTTAACTTCGATAGCTAATTGTATTGCTGATTAATTCTATACTCTTAGTTTATAAATTGTTTTTAACTTTCCAATACATTTCATAGTTCCTAATTTTTTCTCACGCAATTATGCTTCTACAAGTTTTCACCGAATTTCAATCGTTAACCAATAACCTGATATGAGGATATGTTTTTCTAACTTTACTCTCGGTTATAAATAAACGCATCCTATCATTCTAAAATCTCGTAGAGTCCACAACCTTGAATTGAATTAATCGACTTTCATCTAGTGTTTTCCGCTTATCAGCAATCCCTCGATGGCTGCTCCGTTCACTGATCATATAACATATGGAGTATCCATATCGTCTGTGAATAACTTCTTACTCTACTTGCAAACTTGCAAAACAATGCAATTCTTTAATAGCACCTGAAAGTTAGGAAACCAATGAGAACTTCTTGTTTTCGGCATCTAATTAGAAGTCAATAAGCTTCCCAGCACATGCCCAATATCCATCCATGAATACATTACAGGGCATTCGGCAAACGTAGTGTAGTCGTGTTAGCTTCCTATTTCATGCCGGCAAGATAACAGGAACATTCCTTTAGCTTGCCCATTTCCCGCTGCTATCAGGGTCGAAACATTCAAAAAGTGTTATTCAGCGTATCAGATTTTGTCGAAGCTAACCTGATAAAATGTGTTGGTCAACCCTTCACTATTCCCCTAATTAAAGAGGGTTTGCTATTGTGAAATAATTACACTTAGATTATTTTTGTTTTATCACGTCATTGTCCGTTTCCACAGTAAAACCGGATCCGCCATTTAACTGCACGACCAGCGAACGCACTCCTTTTTCAATGAGGGTGTGGTGCGCACAAGGATTTGACGGGGGAGTGACACAAAAATTCACTTTGGAAGCTTACGATGCCGGCAACGACCTGGCAGCGGTGGTCGGCGATGGACCGACCGTAGCTGCCGACGGACCTATGCCACCCTTGTTGTTCAACATGTCGGCCGACGAACCCGAATTCATCATCCGACAACTGACCCCCGCGGCCGGACTTCGGCTGGCCGTCTACGCGCACAACTCGCGAGGAACCAGCGAACGCACTTGGCTGACTGCTTACACCCTAAACGCTGCCGACAAGCAGACCACTTCCGGTAAGAGCTCATATCCGGTGTGTCTACGCCATGAATTGCATCAGAGATCCAAAGTCATGAGTGTGTAGGCTGTAAGTCATATGAGACTGGAGAGAGATAGGAAAGAATTAGATTATAAGATAAATAGTGGAGCATTTTAGTAGATCCTAGAGAGAATCGGTTGAAGTTCTTAAGCGACGGTGTTTTGTGTAGAATGAGATGGTTGATGTCAACTCGTGCGTGCACAAGGTGGCAAGTAATCTACGCAGAGGCTAACTACTTTGTGATATATGTTTAATCCACAAGCATTGGGTTGTTGATTACCGATTGTCATGTCTATCTTTTTAACAGGTTCTTCCGTGGCCGGCGTGGGTGCAGGCAACCGTTTACGGCTGACTCCAATTGTCGCCACACTCGTTGGTATCACCATCGTGGCGGCTGCGATTGCGGCGGTCGTCATGTGTGCTTTACGCATGCGGTCACACCGGGATAGGATCCGTCGACGCCAAGAGTTATGTGGCGATAACGGTTGTATAGTGGGCACCGGTGGCGGATCTGCAGCTATTGCTGTTGGCAAACAAAAAGTCGATGGAAACAATGCCGCAGCGTTGGACTCGGACAAAAATCCAGATATAATTCCACCCACCAAAATCAAAAGTGAGATTGGCCAAAATTTTATTCCACATATTCCGAGTCATTTAGCTTGTCTTTGTAAATCTAAATTATACTCCCACGCGGTACTACGTCCGTAGTATTTTGTCAATAGAATTTACTTGGTTGTAATATATTAACATTGTATTGTGTAGATTCTAACCGGAACAACATCGGATACCACCCAGTGCAACAGCAAATGGATTCGAACGTGGACATCGACGTTGAAGCGCTTGAGAACGAAACATCAGACGACGAACGAGCTGGTTACCCCGTGGATCAAATAGATGGCATCTCATCTCGTCATTCTATGAACACACTTCGACGGGTAAGATATGAAAATGTTAACTGGGCAAACTCTAATAAAACTTACTCGTTATACAAATTGTAATACCTACACCTAAAATATTGAAACAGGAATTAGTATTGTTTTATTTAATTCTTTACATTTGTTCCTTCTCTTTTACACATCAATGATTTCCTATCTCATGGTCTTACCTAAATTCTGAAGAGTGGTTTCGTTTGTTAATTATCAAACTTTGGAGTCACTTATATCTTGGCTACATACCATTATTAATCTGATTTCGTGTTCCTCGTTACGTTAATTCAAAATGAAGCAATTTCAGGAATCCGTTCTCATTGGAACGAGTTCTTTCTTAACACTGGTATTTGTTCTCCATCGCCCTGTAAAAATGTGGGTTTTGTGGGTTGGAGTTATAACAAAATAGAGTATTGATCAGAATATTAATGACTAATGTGTACTAAAGTGATTTCTACTATTTACAGGCTGCAGCTCCCACGCCATCCGGTTACAGCAACGTCGGTTATCGACCGGAGCAGCACAACATGGCGACCACGTCGGTAACCACGCGGTTACCAAAGTATCACCACAGGGAGATCGTGACGGTCAGGACTCCGTTGATGTCCAGCCAACAAGAAAGCTGCGTTTAAAAGAAATACCCAACTGCGACCGCACGACAACACAAAAATATCGTCTGTTCGTGTTTCGTTTTGTATACGTACATTTAGTGGCATACAAAAAACCGAAACCGGATCGAAAAAATATGAACCTAAACATGACCATAACTCGTTTATCGACGATATCAACTGTGTTGTCCGTGTATAGTGTTCATAACGAATTCCCATAATTTTATTCGATTAATGACAATTTTTCCCACATCAGACTACTAGCGCATTTTTGTCCACGCGGGTACGCGTTGTTTGTGTAATATTATCACAATCCTTTCATACGCATTGTACATTTTTCCTATTTTTTTTTCTTTCGTTTATTGTACTAATGTATTCAAAGAGTCATACCATATCCGCTTTTCTCTACCCGACTAGTACAATATCAACTATTATCATCTTTGAAATGATGCGCTCTAGCCGTTTGATGGATTGCAAAATCGTTTTACAAGTGAATCTCGTTTGGGATGTAGAAACTCACAGACTTTTTATTCCCCGTTCGTCGAAACGTTCTATGAAAATCCAGACCATGTCATTACCTATTTTTTTTTGTCTAAAATATATTTTACACTTTACACGACATATCCAGTAGCATATCGAATAAAAACATATTATAAGTACATTCATATCCCCACATCTGATTTTCCGGACAACCTGTGTTTGTGCTGGCGTCAAAATGAACTAAACAAATAGTACCTAAATGATTTATATACATATTGCACATAAGTGAAAATAATTTGAGACTAAATTTTTAAATTCAATTGACGGGCTTTGATCCCTCCCCGATAGTAATAATTACTATTATTATAAATTATCGTTAAGCGTTTTTAATGTAATATAAAAAAAAATGATTTTTTTTGTTTAAAAGTAATATATTACATGGTTTCTGATGATTAAATCGACAGCTAATTAACCGTTTTTGTTATTGTATGTAATAATATTATGTATTTAAAATAAAATATAATATGTCGTCGGACCAAGCCGGCAGAAACAAATTTGTAAATATCATCATTATTATTATTACAATTCATTCAAAGTGTTCGATTTTTATTGTTTATACGTTTTTTTTTTACAGAGATTTATTTGATTATTTTTGGTTGTCGGTGTTGACAGCCACACTACAGTTACCTGCAGTAGTAATATCCAAAACTTTAGAAATACTATGAAATAAGTTTTGAATATTTATAATATTGTATATTTACTATGTAAAATGTACTATATAATTATTAAGTTTTATGTTTACACAAAAATTAACAACAACCGATAAGATATACTGTAATGTATAAAGTAGGTGGGCATTTTAATTATTTATAATAACTATTATTGAATACCCACGAGTGTTATACCTGTTTCTAGTGAATCTTTTATTTGTTTCAAAACGTTTTAATATTTTATTACATATTATTATTATTAATAGTAGTAGTAGTAATAATAATTGATTAACTATTGGCGTAATTCGTAAGTGTTAAGTTTCGTAAACATATTTTGTTTAGATCAAAAAATACAGCGTACACTCGCTATTAGATTAGTTGCATTAAAAATTATCAAATCTAGTTAATATCGTGGTTGGCCAAAGTCGTAGTTCAGGTCGATTTCGATAAATTAGTTTGTTAGAAAATAGCACATTATTTTATTGGCGTTGATAATTTCATAATTTTGCATTCTCAGAACGGACAGATATAATAATAACTATAACCTTCCCTTGCACAACATTTTGGCACCACATTTTTTTTCATCTACAAATGAGTTCTCCAACGGTAAAGTGTTACATTGATTCACCTGTTGGTTACGTTCATATCGACGTTAGTTTCCACACTATTATCAGGACAGAAATCGGTTAAAACTGCGACGACACTGTTGCCAACATATCAACACTGTAAATGTCTTATTTGTTTTATTTTTAAACTTCAAAAAAACTACAATTTTACGAATATTTCTGCACATCGATTTGCTCGCCTTGCACTTTAGATTTTATCTTAAGATTATTGTTTATACCTGTTTGTTTTTGTTTGTATTCGATAATGACGACACACAGATGATGGCAGGCAAAATGTATTTTTTTTTATTTGTTATTACAAAACGCACAAAAAAACTATGCCGATTTGGATGAAACTAACAACTAACAATTACCAACCGTGTACTTCTTTCGACCATAAAGTTGCTTGCCTCGTGTTGTTTCATAAAAAAAAAATCTACATTTTAAATCAATTATAGATTTTCAAAACAACACAGGGCTCGCCATTTACATTGTTATGTTCGGTCGAATTTACAAAAAAAAAACCCCAATCGCACCAACCAACTACTACCAACTGTCATGATTATATTTATTATTGTAAATTATTAATATTTATTATTAGATATACTTATAAGGTTATTTTTTTTTTACTTTGTACTGTATTTCGTTGTAAAATTGTATTATTGTATTCGGTACCTATACCCACCTATCTATGATATTATGAATATATTAAAATTAATTAAATTCATATATATTAGCGTTAAATACATAATATTATAATAATAGTTATTATTATAAATTATATAATTATCGATCAAATTTTTATTCGTTTACAAATTTAAAAGAAAGAAAAACTAATATTATTAATAAAACTATATCTATAGTCGTACTTTTCTTATTATACGTATAATCTACTATATAACTATAAGTGTAAAAAATGTAATTAAATTTAGACGTTACAAAATTGTTTTACTCAAATAAATGTGACGGAATTCTCTTCATCGGTCGTTTTTTTTTAACATTTAACTAATAAAATTTATTTTATTTGTCAAGGAATTTTTAAGATTTAAATTTTTGACAGAACACATACTGTCTACACTGAATCGAATCTCAGAGTAAACCTATTACCCCCAACTAAATATTTATTTATTTAGAAATGTTTTTTCTGTTGAACTACAGACAAATTATTATTATTGAAGTATGTCTTATGAGAAACACACTGTGTTTTGTAATTAAAATAATAAAATCTTGCAATTTTCCTACTGCAAAATCCCTTCAAAGTTTCAGCGGCATTAATCAAATGTTAAAATATCTAAAATGTTTAACAAATCAGAACATCCACCTTGATAGAAAAATAATGTAAATTTTTAAAAAAAAATCTTTTACTTGATTTAAATTAAAAAAATAATGATTATTGTTATTAATGAAGTATTCTGCTTACTAAAGTTTTATGTTTTTTTTCCTCAAAACTATTGTGTTACAAATGTATTTAATTTATTAATAGAATTATTAGTTGTACCAATTCGGTTTGACTCGGTGGAACAGACTTCATATTATGAAATTTGACATTGACTTACATCATGCCATTCAAACATTTGTTTGACATGGGCAGTTTAAGGCTACATATTAACTTTGGGTGATCCTAAGTTAAAACACCTTCCAATTAAGATTGCATTGGTTGGACAATGTAAAAGTTGCAAAAGTTACAAAGTTCAAAGGGCCAAGTTCCAGAGCTCTCCCCAAAACTACCTATCAAAGTAGTGGTGATATCTACATTATTGCCAACTTTGTTTTATACCTCATTCAGAAAGTAGCCATGTTTTAAGCAATAAAAAAAAACAGCAGTGTTCCTTATGAATGTAGGAATGAAGTGAAGTTATGGACTAAAGAAAGAGCAGACTTAGCCACAATGTAGATATCACTACTTTGATAGACTGTCTTTGGGGAGAGCTCTGTTGTTGGGTTAACATTATTACAACACTACATTATTTCTGGATGTTATGTAGCAGTGACTATTTTTAATAATTCTATATATTTTTTAAATTATATATTTTAAATACCTAATGAAATAAATTATATTTAGTCAGTTTACGATATCAAATAACTAATAATAATTGCCAACGTACAACAATTTATAAGAGAATGAGAACATACATTATGTACATACTACATAGATTAGGGTAGCCGGTAGGCAGGTACGCTTAGTATTATGTTTTCAACTGTTTATTTAAAATACAAAGCTTCAATTATTTTCTTATTAATTTGAATAGTATTAAATATATGTGTCAAAACGCCAAATACGAGCGAGCCCCTCCCCCTCAAGGAACTTATTGAAACTAAGCCTGCATAACTGTTATGATACAAGTAATGTTTTATTTTCGATAATTTTGGCCATGGTCTTACCTATAAAGTGTTTTTAGTTTTTTTCTTTACTCTTCTTTTTTAGCGTTTTTTATATTATCTTTGGCCATCAAAAATGTTATAAAAAATCAGTTTCTTTTAGAAAATAATCTCAGCGTTCTAAAAATTGTCAAGAAAACTTCTCAATTTTTGGGCAACACGCTAGAACTAACTGTTTAGATTATAAACACAATTTTGATGACTTTCTGTTACTCTAAAAAAAAAAAATTCAGCAAGCTGAAATTATTTTATTTTATATAAAGTTTAAAAATAAAATTTAAAAAGGGTTAAAACTTTAAAAAAAATGTTCTGACCGACCTCAAGTAAAATTTAAACGAATTCCAATCTGTGCCTATCTTATGTACACTGATACACCCTGTCATCTATAATAATAATAACGTAGTTAAACGTTATTTTATTTATCTGGCTGGTACAAACAAAATATAATATAACATTGGATACAATAAATTGTGTTATAGTTAATTTTTTTTTAATACTTAATAATAGAACACACACACACACATGACTCGATTTGAATTCTAAAATAATGAGTAGGCTCCTATTCAAAGTAATACAATAATTGTTAATTATTTATATGTTGCGATTTGTAATGCTTAGGCATGTTGTTTGAACACAGTTAAACAGATTTGCTTTTGGTGCGCAGAGGTTTACTCGGCTTAGACATTCCTTAAACCGTGGCAAAATACAGTATTACCAAAATTTCGCTGGGCCTAAAATTATCAAGCAAGGACCGCGACGAAAATTATGGGAAAACAAACACACTGGATTATTGTTGTCGGCCATAGTGATGGAAATGAACGATTCAAAAAACAAGTCCAATGTGAACGATGAAAAGACAATCGGATCAAAGAATAATAGTGTGGTACCCAGCCGGTATGAAGTAAAAGAAGATACCAAGGTTAAAAAACCGAATAGCAAAGACGGCGATGATGAGAACGAGAACTCTACTCCGACAAACGAAATCAAACAAACGAATAGCAAAGGTTTTTTCGAACATTTTCTTCGGTTTATTTCATTACTCGCGATTATGTGGTTCTCGCTGGTAGTAATTTGTATGCTCTCCATCCTGATATTAATAATAATAATAATAATAATACTTAGCTAAATCGTTATAACAAATTAATTCAATCTGATACAGTGTATTATTATGCACTGTTTCCAAAAACCGTTGTTTGGACGATAACTATTTTAAAAGAAATTAACTTTTCATACTAACTACCTAACTGACCATTAGTATGTGCTTATAGTTAAATTACATTATTTAATGATATTATAAAATATTTTTATTGATTAGTCTTGTTAATTACATTATGTTTACAATAACACTCAAGTTAATGATTTACTCTAATACAATAGAATATTAATTCTACCTAGTTTTACTTTTGAGTCCCGTTTTCTACTCAAAAACATGTCTTAAGAAGAAAACAATAACACTGTAGAATAATTGAATTTTGATAATTAGTTCTATTAACTTTTGAATATGAATGTGCCATGTTTTGTAAAAACCCGGAGGCTGATACTTTTAGTAACTATGACAAACACGTCATAGTGCTACACGCTTCACCGTAGAGTTGTTTAACAAGGTTCTTTAACTTTAAAAAAATATATTTTATAATATAATGCATTTTAATATAATGCAAACAACAAAGGTGACAAGTGCCCCCCTTGCGGTACACCAGAAGTTATTTCAACTAAGTTTGAACACGTTCCATTGATTTTAACAAATTGTTTCCTGTTAGAAAGATATGAGGTAAGCCAAGACAGTAAAGGTTCGCCAAAACGAGTAGAGTTTAGAACTTTTAATAAAGTGCTATGATTTACACGATCAAATGCCTTAGTAAAGTCAGTATAAATTGCATCAACTTGAGAGAGTTTACTAAAAGCATCCATGACATACTCGGTAAAAGCGACATTGCACATCGTAGTCGATCAACCCAGACGAAACCTATGTTGCTAATTTATTAAAATACTATTAACTGTTCTAAGAACAGATCTATACACTAATGACTCAAAAATTTTGGCCATGCAACATATGATTGAGATAGGCATACAATTAGTGACATCAGTCAAGTCTCCAGACTTAAATATAGGAGTAATCGAACTTACTTTCCAGACATCGGGAAAAACTCCTTCAGCCATAGACTTGCAAAAAACAAGCCAAAGATGGTAACATAAGACCGATTCTAACTTAAATAGAAAATATCCAGAAAAACTACCAGGGCCAACTGCTTTAACATTGGCTAGTTCAGCTAAACTTAACTCAACTTCATCAAGACTGATATGAACTATAGAAGGCAAATTAAAACAGAGCTCACTACCAGAACCGAAGCCACTATCTGAAGTTAAAGTCTTGGCCGAGAAACAGACTTACAGTTTTCAGAGAATAGTCCACATATCACGTTTATCTTTACTAAAAGGTTCACCAAGCTTAACAGACTCTGGGAAAGTATTACCGCCTTTATTTTTCCGCACAAAGTCCCAGAAAGATTTTGGCTTAAAAATAATAGAAGACTCTGTACGCTCAATGTAACTATTGTAGCATTTCTTAGACTCAAACTTGCACTGAGCGCATAAGGAAGAAAAGTGGTAATAATCTTGAGGACTTGACGATGAACGATAAATAGCATGGGCTTTCTTTTACGAAGAACAAGGCTTTTTAATTCCTTCGAGTACCAAACTGGGAAATTAGATTTCTTAAATTTGACTTCCGGCACAAAACTAAAATACAAAAATAAAGAGCATCATTAAGAGCAGAGATGGCTTCATTGGAGCTAAGTGAAGACAAAGTATCTCTCCAGTTAAAACTCAACATAAAGTTCTCAATACTACAATAATCAGCTTTAAAAAAATTAAAAAACAAATGAGAAGTATCAGACAACGGCTAGACAGGTACATCAAGAAGATATATAACTAGAGTCGGATGGTAACGATCCTCAGGAACAAGATACTCATCATACCGCTTACCTCTAAGGGTGGATGAATTACAGAAAACCAAGTCCAAAATAGAATTGTAATAGTTCAATATATGGTTGAGCAGAAAAAAATTAAGAAAAGCAAAACTTTCAGGAACACATTGAATCCGACTACCAGCAGGAGTGGAGTAAATAAGTTTATGGTCATCATTTGCCCACGTAATCTCTGAAAGATTGGAGTCACCACAAATAACAAACACATTGTTCTTGTAAACCATTATTAATCTCTCAACTTCAGCAGTAAATGATTCATAAGAAATTAAAGGGGTATTAGGAGGAAAATATACACAACAGATTATTTAAGTAGTTCCGTTAGAGGAAAATTGGACACACAGTTTTTCAACATTAAGAATAACAACTGATATTACATAAGGAGAAATATCCTTCCGAATGGCAATAA